GCAGGGGGTGCACAGGATGCACCCCACCTCCCCAGGCTTGAGGACCTCAAACCTGCAGCCCTGTGCTTAGGGGTGCAGATAGGGGCATGAGGTGTAGTTTGCAGTGCAGATTGGCTATGATGCTTTGTTCTCTGGCCAAAGCCAGGCGGCGAGGCCAAGTCAACACTATAAATCCAGCTTTGGAAATGCGCTTTTCAACAAGCCTGTGATTTGCCAAAAAGCTCTCAGCCCCACTCCCAGCCTGTCCCAGGAGGCTGCTGGGCGCTCGCCAAGAGGGAGAGGGGGAGAGGCGGGCAGTGCAAGCCCTGACCCGACTGCATGACGGCGAGGCTGCACGTGGCTGCCTCCAGGCACAGTCCAGCTCACGCGCACCCCCTGAAGAAGCAGCACGAGGAACACCCACACCCGCTTTAATCCCAGTCCCAGCTCAGAGCAGGGGGATGCGGGAGGGCTCCCAGAGGCGCTGGGCCAAGTTGCAGGCCTGCTGGACCACCAGCTCGGATGGGATGATGCCCAGGTGCACAGTCAGCAGCTCATAGCACTTCACCACTTCCGTCTGCTGGTTCTTGCTGTAGTAACGCAGCAGCTTCCTAGGAAGGAAAGGCAGAGATACTCTGCAGGGTATGGCACTGGCTGTGCCCCTTTGGAACCAAATTCCCCTAGGAGGCCTCTGGCAAGAACATCCACCCCTGCTGGCCCACAATCACAGCACCAAGCTGGGAATATGGGCTGTGCTGTCCAGATGGCACTGTAGCACTGGTGTCACTCTGCTGCCCCTGGTTCCCCCAGGCACACCAATGCGCATGGGATGCTCATTTCAGCATGCTCCCCATCTCCTCTGCCCAATTGCTCACCTGTAGTAGTCCCCTGCCAGCATCCCAATGGGCGCAGAGTCATCAGAGAGAACCGGCACCTCCATCACCTCCAGTTTATAGCCCTGGGGATGGATGACAGCAGAGGTCAGGGTTGTGCCAGGGAAGGGAGGGACAAGGAGCCCAGTGGTGTGGGCAGAAGGGCTCAGCCCACTTACCAGCTCATTCTCAAACCAGAGGAAGTAGGAGCAGCAGTAGTCACCATCCTGCAGCATGAGGGTCGTGTAGCCCTTCTGCAGGTACCGCCGGGCCAGTGCAATCAGGGACCACACCTAGGGGAAGGAGGGCATTCCACGCCTGAACACAAACCTCCATCCTTGCCCCCTCCCATGGTCCGAGCACAGCCATCAGCACCTGGAACCACAGCAGCCTGACCCAGGCTCTGCAGGATCACTACCTTGCTCCTGACAAACTCGGCGAGGGGCCCCTTGCCCAGCTCTGAGCTGGACTTCTCTGTCACATTGAGCGACGGTGCCATCATCTGTCCAGCTGTGCGGTCGACATAGATGAAGTGCACCAGGCCAGGAAAGTCCTCCAGGTATGTGAGGCTGGTTAAGGGTGTCCAACCTCTTTGGTACCCTGTGGAAACCTCCCTCTCTCCCTCTCACCCCATCCCGGCCACAGGGACGGATATGACACCATGGTGATATTGCGCCTGCTCTTCACCAGCAAGAAGTCTCGCCAGTCCAGCAGCTTCTCCCTGCGAGCAGAGGTGCAATGAGCAGCAATGAACATCCCCAGCCGCAGGCAGTCTCTGTACCCCTCAGCCTCACCTCATCAGCTTCTGGGCTCGGTCCCGCAGGCCCTGGGACAGGCTGTGGCTGGTGGGGGTGAGGAAGAGCTGGCGATATACAGAGCAGAGCTGTCGCTTCACAGTGCCTAGCACATGCAGCAGCCTAAGTGGAAGGAGTCCAACTTTGGAGTCTGCATTCAGGCAGAGCAAGGATCCCATATTCCCCAGCTGCCTCATACTCACTCCAGGTTGCTCCCAGCCTCATTCCGGGAGAATATCTTGTTCTTGAATTCCACCCAGGCGTTCTGCAACTAGAGATGGGGCTCAGTGTCCAGCTACAAAGACAGCAGGATGAGGTCCATGCATTCCCACACCCACCTGCATGTCCTGCCCACTCAGCTTCTTCACAAACTTATCCATGCGCTGCCGCAGCTCGGCCAGGAAGGGGTGGGCACGGGGGGCTCCCACCTCCTGCCCCTCTTCCAGCTTCTTCTCCAGCACCAGGAAGCCATCCAGCAGTTGGTGCAAGGTGACAGCCACATGGCTCGTGGGGCCCTACCATGGAGTAGAGATATGGGTCAGGCAGGAGCTAGCCCAGCCCTGCTCCCCTCACCTTACAGCTCACCTTAGTCAGGAGTACAAGGGAAATACCAGGCCACAGCGGGAGACAGTGCATGGTGTGTGGCAGTAACAGGCAGCTGCCATCCCGCAGGTTGGCCTCCAGGAAGATCCTTCTGGGGTTTGAAGCTTCTGGGAGCAGAGGGCCCAATGTCTGGAGCAGGTCCTCTGCCATCTGGGCAGAGAGGAGAGATGCTCAGCCCCTGCATCATCCGAGGGACGTGGTGATGAAACCAACATCCTGAAAGCTGCAAATACCCCGCAAGAGCAGCAGACAGAAAGGAGGCTGCTTGCAGTCAGCAAACACTATTTGCAGAGACCAAATGCTTGCAGAGTAGTGCAGGGAAGAAAGCAGCCCAGAAACCCTGAGGCAGCAGAGGGAGACACCAGACTGCTTTCAGAGAGCCTCAACCCTGTGTCACTGACATCAATGGGAACGCTGCAAGCAGTAACCCAGAGCTGACACACTGTCATGCACAACACAGGGGATGTGCCACATGCCTCCACAGGCTGGGACACTCAGCCATAGCACAGCAAGGGAGATGTAGTGAGGACCAGAGATAACAAACAGCACCAGGATAGGTTGGGAAGGCGTGGATACAGGTGGAATCGTCACCCATGCTCACCTGGACATCTGCAGCATCTGCATCCCCATCCCCCACCAGCTCAAGGCTCTCTGACCAGCTTTCACTGCCTGCAAGAATGCAGCAGCTCCACTCTCCCTGCCAGTCCCCATGCAGCCCCAAACCTCCTATGGGGCAGGGCACTGACCAACCTGGCACTCACCTGTGCTCTGTCTGCCCGGCGAGGGCTCAGGTGTATAGTAGACTTCAGGTGCAGAGAGATCATCAGTGTCCTGCTAGCAGGAAGGGTTGGCTCAGCTGTGCAATGACTGCAGGGCAGCACCGCCAGCATCCCACACTGCAGCTCTGAGCTTTGCAGCCCGTGGGGCTGCCACCCACTCTCACCTGATCATCTGACTCCTTCTCTGTAGCCCCGTGGGAGCTGGGGTTGCTCACGGGGATGCTCTCACTTCTCTTGGGTCCCTGTGGCAACACCTCCCCTGCTGTGGGCTTCCAAGAGGAAAGAGAGAAAATCAAAGCCTGACCCACAAGATATCATGCTCCAGAGACACCCCAGCCCACTCCCCCCACACCTGTGGGCTGAGCTCCTCCTCGGCACTCTGGCTGGGATACAGGTCCTGCACCAGGAGGATGAGGGTGAGCAGGTCAGCAGGGCGGATGGAGCTGGCATTGCGGCTGTGAGATGGAGAGCAGAGGGGTCAAGCAGGAAGGCCAGCAGCTGTCCTGGGAGGGTACTGGAGCCAGGACCAGGCGCACCTGGAGTAGAAGGCCAGCAGCTTGGTGTGCACCAGGAGAAAGGCGTGTCCCACCTCATCCCCACCACGCTCAGGGCTGGCATTGATGTGCTGCACCACCTGCCTCTCCAGGAATTCGATGCACTGCTCACACAGCTGAGGATGGATCAGCCGCTCCACCGCCTGAGGTGTGGGTTGGGATGAGGCTGCTGAGCCAGGCAGATGCAACCGCACAGCGCCAGGGCAGGGCTGGGCTGCTCCTGGCATCACAACCTGGAGGCTGCCCGAAGATCCCCTCTAGGAGCCCTTCTCCAGGATGCAGCATCACCCACTGCCAGCCTGGAGGAAGCCCTGGGATGTGCTCAGCAGGTCCCAAGAAACATTACCTCCACGGCAAAGCTCTGGTCCTCCTCCCGCAGGCGGATGTATGTCTCCAACAGCCCCCTCAACAGGCTCCAGCTGCGCTCCCGGCGCTCTGAATCCGCTGGCCGCAGCCTGTGATGGCCACAGAGCGTGAGCCATGTATGAGATGCCCCAGATGGATGGGCATCCCAAATCACCACGGCACTCCAGGAAAGGGAAAGGAGACGGGAGTCTCACTGCCAGGGGACACCACCTACAGGATATGCACCCACCCTCCCATCTCGGCTGCTCGCCCAGTATCCCCGTGCCCCAGCCCGCGCCGGCTGGCGCTCCCTGCTCACTCCTTGCGGATGAGGTGGGCATCGAGCGTGACGAGGCCGCAGTGAGCCTCCACCAGGCGCCGCAGCACGAAGAGCGTCCTGCGCAGGTCGTCCTCGCTCTCCGTCCCGTCGCCGTTCACCGCGATGTACAAGCAATCCCCGAACTGCAACCGGCAGCGGGGTCAGGGCACAAGGCCCGACCGCTCCCCAGCTCCCCCGGCCCGGCCCTACCATGTGCAGGACGTGGAGGTGCCGCCCGCGTTCAGCCCTGAAGCAGGTGTAGGTGTCCGACAGTTTCTCCAGCAGCGCGGTGCAGGAGATGATGAGGGGCGCGAACAGCGTGTTGATGCTGTCCTCCAGCGCCGGGCCCTGCGGCACGCGCCCGAGTCAGCGTCTCCGGGCCCCGCGAGCCACCCCGCCCGCCCCCCCGGGGCCGCCCCGTCCCGTCCCGTCTCATCCCACCTGCGCGGCGGTGGCGGCGGGCGGCCGCAGCCGGCGGAGAAAGGCGGCATCGGCCCAGTAGAAGAGCAGCTCGGCCGCGGTGCTGGCGATCAGCACGCACCGCATAGCCCGGCCCGGCCCCGGGACCCCGCGGCTCCGCCCGCCCCGCGCCGCTTCCTGCTCCGCCGCGCGTGACCGCCGCGCCCACGCGCGCAGCGCCTCCGGTGGCCCGGCGCGGCCCTGCAGCGCGCACCCGGCCGCGGGGCGCCCCGCTCCGGTTCCTCTCTCGCCCCGCTCCGGTGCCGCCCCGCGGCGAACAGAAGAGGCGAGCGCGGTGGGCAGCGCAGCTTTATTACCCCTCACGTTCCGTCGCGGTGCGTCCCGGCTGCTCCAGCCCGCACCCCCCGCTCCCACAGCCTGAGCCGCCTCCGCCTGGCACGGCGAGGAGCTCCCCGTCACCGCGGGCCTCATTAACTTAATTACCAACATTTACAGCCGTGGCCCCGCCCGCGCGGCTCCCCCCGTCCCACGGCGTCCGGGCCGCGCTCGCAGCGGCAGCAGAGGGAGCTGCTTCCATGCTCGCTGCGAGCTCCCCGCACGCGGCCCCGACCCTCCCGCTGGAGCCCCGCAGCCCCGCCGTCAGTGCGCGGGGCGGTGCGGGCACGGGTGGGGGCAGAGGGTGCCGGGCTGGAGGGCGTCCGGGCATTGGGGAGGAGGGCGATGCGGTGCCCGCGCCGTGCTGCCGAGGAGCAGCGCGTCCCGGGGAGCGAGCGGTGGGTCCGTTGCGGGCCGCGGGCTATCGGTAGCGGCAGGCCAACGCGTTCACGTTCTTCACCACGTAGAAGCTCATGGTCAGTGGGGGGATGACCAGCGTGCGGCCGGCCCGCAGCGGCCGGGGCTTTAGCTCGGGGAGGGTCCCGTCGTCCACCATGGCCAGAGGCTGCCCGTTGAGCTGCACCGACCTGCGAGAGCGGAACAGGGTCAGGGCGCGGCGCCAAGGACGGGGTGGTCCCCAGCGGGAACCCCGCGCTTACTTGGAGTGCAGCCCATCTTTGCCGTAGGGCTGCAGCAGGTACTGGTGGACCATCTTATCCCGCAGCGTCCCCGCCAGCTTGATTTTCTTCCGGGAGCGATGCAGGTTGATGATGTACAGGGTGATGGAGCCCCGCACGTAGTTGTGGCTGCAAAGGGGAGAGCGGGGGCTGAGGGGTGTGTTGGCGTCTGCCCCGAGAGCATCACCCCTGGAAAAGGGTCTGGGGTGTGTGTGCAGCCATCCGGGTTGGACATCACCCTCCGCAGGGAGATGTCGCCTCCCCGTCGTGACAGCTTCCCAACTTCCCCTGCTCTCCTCGGCCAGGAGTGGCACTGCTCGAGGGGGTCACTGCAGCTGGGGGCAGCCCCCCCAGGACCTTGCAAGGAGGCTGAGAACTGAGGGAGCTCAGTACGTGAGTGGCATCTGCCCCCCGCCACCCCAGGCACCCAACTGACAGCTCCAGACACTGATCCTCTGTCCCTGCTTAATCAGACAGCCCCAAACAAAGGCTATAAAGCACTTTGCACCTGTCAGTTACTGGACAAGGTTTCCTACCGAGCTGGAGGCATGTTGAAAGCATCTGGACTGTGTAAAGAAACAGCCTCTCCTCCTCCACAATAGCAACTTGTGTCTGCAGAAGAGGTGGCTGCCTCCCCCCCACCCCCACTGCTTGCTGTGGCGCTTTGAAAGACCTTATCAGTAGAACAATGAGCGGGCTGGGCTCCTGGGCAGGTAACCTGACCGACCGGGGGCCCCTCGTGAAATCCACCCCCTTGATCTTTGCTGCCGGGGCTGTCCGGCCGCAGTCCCCGTTCCCAGGCGGGTGCCGCCCCGCGGCCCCCAGCTTCCCTCACTGTGCATGGCTCACTTGTGGGAGCTGGTGCAGTGGGCGTAAATGCGGAGCTTGTCACGGATCACCCTGCCCGGCCGGGGCTTCCTTTGCAGACCGGCCACGTGGATGGCCAGCACCTTGGGTCCGATGAGCCGCTTGTACAGCAGGGACAGCCAGTAGTCCTGCAGGGCAGAGAGGACAGTCAGCAGCACCAGTCCAGGAGAGTCTGGGCTGCCTGGGTGAGAATATTCCATGCCAGATGTCTGCCTTGGGGTGAGCTTTTATTTTTTGGCATGGATCAAGCCAAAATGGTGTAGCTGTTTCCAGGAAAGAGATTAAGGAAGGAGTACATTGCTTTGCACGCTAAGAGACACCGATATCCTCTAAAGGAGCTCAGGCCACGCAGCTTGGTGGAGAGCAACACGGATGCTACCTCACATCTCATGGACCCACACACAGCCACGCTGCACAGCCACGCACAGCCCACATGGGACAATGACACCTTCCACCCCATTGCTGTGCAAGGCTGGAGCCCCTCGATCTATCCCATGCTCCCCACTCTGCTGATGGCGCATTGGCTCTGGAGACAGCCTGGGGTGCTCCACTCCCCAGAGATGCTTCTCCTCCTAAAGCCACCTGTGGAACTAAGCACCCATGACCATAGTGCAGGGAAGCCAAATACTCAAGAAATAGGAAATGCTCAGCTCCTGCACACATGCGTTAACGATGCAGCCTTTTAATTACGTCACCACATACTATATTTTCCCACAGGGCACAGCCTCGCTTAGCACACAGGATGGGCCCCAGGCCCTGGGGAGGGAAGCGAGGCTGTGCACTGCCGGCGGCCACCGTCTGCAGGGCCCCCCCCATCCGCTGCAGAAGCTGGGAGGTGTGTGGTAAATGAAGCAGGGTTGTAGGAAGGGAGGGGGCACGCTCAGAGGGCCGTTTTGCAGGATGGGGCTCTGTCCTTGTCACCGCAGCAGCTACCAGCCAAGAGGAACACCTGCCTGGTTGGTGCCAGCAGCGCCACTCAGCCTGCCACAGGGACATCCAAACCTGCTTCCCGCTGGCTGGGTCAGCTTTGGCCAGAGGGCTGGGGGAAAACCTCCTGCCCTCCTCTAGCTGCTTCTGGCCAAGCCTGAAAATGGCCTGTTAGCTCCCTGTTAGATAGTTCTTCCTAACAGCGCTGTGGAGTTTCTTGCTTTCTGTGCACATTTCCACCAGCAAGATGCTGGTTTTGCTGGCAAAGTATGGAAGTGATAAATACTACAGAACTCAAAGGGAGTCCTCAGGGACTTGGTGGCCACCCTTCAAGTTCCATGTGCTCTTGGTGCTCCCCTAAAAGCTGTGGCTTAGCAGATCCCTCAGTGCTACCAACTACCTTAGCAGAGATGCTCAGGGCAGTGTGGGGACCAACGTGTCCCTTCAGCATCTGCAGGAGGAGAAGCAGCACAGTGATTTTACCCTGCTTGGCAGGCAGGGTGAGCTCTGAAGCCTTTCTTTCAGGAAGGATGTGGAAGCACCAAAGAGAGTTCAAAGCTGGGCCAAAAAAATGACCCAGGGGCTGGAAAAGGAGCCTTTTGCTGCAGCCTGGAGGAACTCAAGCCATTCAGCTTGCTGCAGGGAAGCACTGAGGACAGCTGCAGCTTTTCACGTCATCGCAAGCCTGCTTGCAGCAGGGGCCAAAATCATGTTCCTTGCAATAAATTACCAGGAGCCAGTGACACCGAGTATTTGGATGATGAATTGCACACGCATCCAGCATGATCAAAACAAAACCTCTGGGTGCGGGCACTTCCCTGGCTGCTGCAAGGCTGTGAGCCCCAACCAAAATCCCATTGGAGCTGCTGGGCACCTGCAATTACGACTTGCTTTGTCTCCTGTTCAGATGGTCACCGATGCGGGAAGTTGGGTCTTGACACCCATCTCTGAAAGCAACAGGGTGGCTTTTTCCCTGGCTGTGTCTGTCACCTCTTCCACGTGTCCTCGTGACCACCTTGCAGCAAAAAGCCACAGCCTGGAGCAGTGCACAGCTCGATCCAGCCCAGTCACAGCAGGACCAGAGCCTTGGAGCTGCTGAGAGCTCCTGTGGTGAGCCATTATACAGCCATAAGGCTAGAGGAGGAATAGCAGAAAGGAATCTGGTCCGCTATTAGTCCTTGGGGAACCAAAGGAGCTTTTTTGCTTTAATTATGTTGCAGACCCATTAAGGCTGCTGCTACAGTCCTCTGCGGAGCTGCAGGCACCTGAGCAGAGCAGAGCAGGAGGTCCCTGGCTGGGACGGTGGATTTACAGGCAGGAAGGGCCATAGTCTCACACGAGCTGATCTGTGGAGCTCAGCCCAACCACGTCTTCTGCATGCCATGGGGCCAGCAGAGATGGAGAGCTCTCCACCAGACAGGGAAAGCCCAGAGGGTCCCGCTTTATCTCCTTACACGTTTTAATTCATCGCAGGAACTTTTAGAAGCTTAAGCTTTTGGAAAGGCAGCTGATTAGTCAGCCCTTCATACAGCCCTGCTAACCATATCTCCTGCCTCCAGAGCTGCTACAAAGGGCTCAGGAGCATCTCCCCTGCTCCCTCCTACAGGCAGCAAAGCTACTTTATAGCCTGCCCGAGCCTGTCCAACTGCACACACAAGAAGAGGTTGCTGTAGCCAGGAAACATAAGCCTCAGACATTCAGTCTCTCTATAAGCAGCAGGTAGGTGGGCACTCAAGGTGCATCCACAGTGCCCCAGCCTGGCAGACTTGGAACTCTCCCACGGCATCCCTAAGGCATGTGCAGGTTTCAGCAGCCTGCTCCATTCCTGCACCACAGCCTGCATTTTGACTGTCTGAGCAACTGCTGAGATAAGGGACCCGGTTTCCCATGCCTCACAGGACAGAGGAGTTTTTATCTGTCTGCTGATCCCTGTGGCTTGTTTTTGGCAAAATCCTCTTCCAGTGACTTGGTTCTGCAGGCCCGGCGGGATGGAGAACTGCCACTTCCCATGGAACCTCTTCCAGTGGTTAAACATCCGCGCTGTTAACAATCTTTATTTTCAGCTTGAATTTGTCTGGCGTCAGCTTCCAACCAGTGGTTCTTGCTCTTTCTTTTTCCACTAGATTAAAGGATCTTCAGCATCCAAGGCTCACTCCCTGTGGAGGTCTGTGCATCCTGTTCAAGACGCGGCTGGTCGTTCCTCCAGCAGGGCTGGGCTGATGCAGTTCTTAACATCACCCGTGACCTTGCTGTGCTTCTTGGACAGCTCAAGGCTTTCTGACTGAAATCCCACACAAAGATCTGGCAGCGGCAGCCCCCTGGGCAGCACAGACCTTGCCTGGTGCAGCATCAGCACCAAGCCCTGCCTAGAGATGGCTCTTGCACCCAGCAGTCCTCTGCAGCTGCTGACATCTCTGCCTGGGATTGCATTGCTTTTGCTGTGCTTCTCCTCTTCCTTCCTGCCCCAGCGGCTGTGAGTGCATCATCTCACCCCACTCTTTCACAGCTGTGGCCGCGATGCCTGCACTGTGCGCTTATGGGGACTTGCTTCAGCTTGGCTGCTGGCTGGTCCTGCGGGCGGAATATCTTCTTGTGGTTAGGAAAAGGAAACGAGGTCACGTTTTTCAATGGCTGTCCAGTGAGTCCCAAAGCGCAGCACGTGGCACAGCCAGGAGAGCTGCTCCATCCCAAATTACCTGCTAACATGGATGCACATGGCAGCTGGGAGAGCCACAGCCTCACCCACCAGTGCCAGCAGCAGTGCACTTGGGCTTGGCATCAGCTGCTTGTCCCATAGCTCTGGGTCTCCCCAGCAGCACAACCCTCAGAAGTCTGCTGAGCCATTGTGCACTGGCCCTGAGCAGGCAAGCTCCCTCCCCACAAGCAGAGCAGATGGAGCAACAGTCAGAGTCCTTTTTGTCATCACCTCTCCCTAACAGGGTCCAGGCAACGGAGGCGGCAGGAAGGGAGTGGAGACACAGGATCAGGCAGGTTGGAAACCAAATACAATTCGTTTGCTGTTTTCCCTTCTTCTGCTACTTTTCACCATCACACTACTTCCCTCCATTCTGCCGGTAGCTGTGTGCCATGCTGAAGAGCACCTTGCTATCCCCACCACCCCTGCAGCTGGTGACAGTGGGTGGGTGGGTGCACAGCACATGCATGGCATGGCTCTTCTGTGCATGTGTCCCACAGCCCCAGTGGGTGGGAGCCTGAGCTGCAGGCAGCTCACAGCTTTGATGCCTTTCAAAGTCCAAGCATACGCACTTCAGAGACTTTTTTTTTATGGCGCACAAAGAGGGAAAGGCCCCTTAACCCAATGTGACAGTGAGCAGAGTGCAAGCGCTTTAAATCTGTCTCCTGGTTTGCAGATAAAAGGAGCCTCAGAGCAGGCTCACAGATAGAGTGCAGCCAGGGTGTGGGGAGCAGGGGATGCTGCAGCCCTCAGCACATGGCATAGCCGTGGCTGGAAGAGAAGCAGAGCCCCTCAGAACAGCACCAGGCAGTTCCCATGCAGCTTTGGGTGTTCACATGGCCCAGAATTTCATCCCTCTTTCCAGCAGCCAGAGCCCATGTACCACACAAGCCACTTCTGGGCATCCTCTCCACTCCCTTCCTCTCCCCATCTGCAGGCGTCACTTGCGCGAGAGCCCATACTGCAGTGTGCAGGGCAGATGGGGGTGCCAGACACCCGTGCTGCAGATTTATGGTCACAAAGAACAGCTTCCATGTGTGTGAGCTCCACTGGACCGGCTCCTTCTCCCCACCCTTTGTTGCTCCCCGCCTGGGGACACTGCTTCCCCCTGCCACATCGCCCCATCAGGCACCTGCAGCAGGGCAGGGCAGGGATGGGTGCAGGTGGGTGGATGTGGCCCCCAACCCTGGATGGAGGTGATCCTTGCAGCACAGCACAAGGCAGGAGAGGCTTGGCTGGGGAGAAGCTGGGACCTTCAGCTGTAAGGAGCAGTGTAGCCGCCAAGGCAGCTCGGCTAACGAGCGCACAGGGGAACACAAATGTGCAGCAGGCGGGGAGCCCTGCTCCAACCCTGGCACCTTGGCCAGGACACACAGTAACTTTCCCATTGAGTTCCTCAGTGCCTGTGGGCTAAGCAAAGGAGGTGAAAAATCGCTGGCGGCATCCAAGCGTCTGAGTGCAGCCCCACCAGGCGCAGCCCTCCGCACCGCCGTGGTGCTTTCCCAAGGACGCCATCAATTCACACACAATATTACACTGTCTTTTCCTACCACGGCTGAGCAGGCAGCCTCTGCCATTGCTTCGCCCTGTGATCCCTCGAAGCCTTTTCTCACGCCCCCGTATGCTGTTTATTAAACTTAGATGCAGGAAGTTTTAGCACCTAATACAGGAGAACCATGTCCCTCACAGCCTTTAGGAGAAGGTTCAAGAGATGCCACAGTTGTCAGGAAACCTGAGTTTGGTTTTCAGCTCTGGCCTTTTCATTGGGTTTGTGTTTCTCTGGCCCTCCCTAGAAGCATACCCAAATTTCTGCACCCATAGGTGTAACCTCACAGCACTTCTTTGTGCATTAAGGGAGCAGACATCAGTTCCAAAGATGGATAAAACAGAGGGGAGTTCTGTATGGACAAGCATTTCCAAAGTTTTGCATGCTCTAGCAGTCTGAAGAGATAGCTCACACTTACCTGGGGGCCTCTGCAGTGAAATGAACGTTTTGCACCATTCTGGACTGCTTCAGAGTGATATTAACAGAGTGATGTATTATGTCTACTGCATGCCTAAAAGGAGCAGATAGCTCCTAAATGCCAGATGGGCTTTTCAAAGGCACTGCCCCATGAAGGGTGAATATCAGTGCTGCTTCTCCTCTCACTTCATCTACTTCCTGCTCCCACACATACATACAGATGGGCTCAGATGCATGCAGACAGACTTACGGACAGGAGATGCTCTGCCTGAAGGGCTTCTCAAGCACATGCCACGCAGTCAAGCCCTGATTGCTTTACGGCTGGCTGCCCCGATCGCTCAAGAAGAAAAAGCACTTCAATGATACTCAACCAAGTTCTCTCAGAAATAACAAGGCATTAAAACACTTGAGAGCAGCTGCATTAAGCTCAGCAGAAGCATTTATATTCCGCAGCTTGAGCACATCCATGCCCAGTCCAGGGCACCCAATTTCTCCTGTTTTCTTCCCATTAGTTGCAAGAGAAGCCCATTTCTGCAGTTCTGCCATTGGATGAAAACTCAGATGTGGTCTGAAGGCTCACAGCACAGCACACAGCAGCAAATATCACCCCACTGCACAGAGAGCTGGGCACTGACCTTTATATTCCTGTACACAGCAATGTCTCCAGTGCATGGCCTTGGCTGTGCACATTCCCTGGCCCCAGGCAGGCAGCATATGCCAGGTCTTACCAGGTCCCTCGTGCCATGCGCTGCAGCGTGCCACATGGGCAGCACCAAAGAGAGCAGGACCAGCAGCAAGCTGCCACACTGACTCAGGCAGCAGCACAGCCTTCTCTCAACAGCCTCTGCCTTGTGCCCATCCCACCTGCAGAAAAGTCTTTGTGACAGCAGCCAGCAGGTGTGTTGGGTTTCACGGCGCGGTGACCCTGCACAGGTCCATCTGGACACTTTCATCCCCCTGATAGCTCCCACGGGAAAATAGCAGTCACCACACTGCCATGTGGGTCACAGTCTGGTCTCCACAAGCTTTTTTATGCTCACATCTTTGAAGCCCGGCACTAATTTGCACCTGCTCGTGGCTCTTTTAAAGCGCATGAGCAACACTGTTGCTTGTGCAGGACTGTGGCACTGGGACGTGAGCAGCAGATCAGCTCTGGAGCACATGGGAGAACAAGGAAGAGGCCACAAGGGGCATGGTGTCTGATTTAGGGGGAAAATTATAACAGCAGCAATTTGAATAACTTCATTGTCTTTATCAGCCCAGGGCATATTCCCCAAACTCCCCCCTGGTGTTGCCTTGCAGAAACCCTGTAAATTCCTTCCTGGGGTGAGCAGAGCACCCAGCCGCCCTGCCAGCTTCTCTACTTACAAGGTGAGGGATTTACTAGACCAAAGGGGAAACAGAACAGATCAGATGGAAAGGAAACCTGCTACTTTTTAAAAGATTTTGCATACTCTTTCTTTATTCTCACCCTATGTGTGGGAAGACCCAGCCATCCAGGGGGGGGTTTTAGAGAGCAAGGAATGATGCAGGGCACCACTGAGAACCACCAGGTCTCAGCTGGAGATGGGACTGCAGCACAACCTTGCCCTGGAATGCCCCCTATAGCCACTGGCATTGCTGCTGTGGCACTGGCCTCCCTGCCATGCTCCCAAGCTCTGGGCACTGGAAGAAGTTCCAGCCACAGCAACAAAGCTCTCCCATCTGCTTCCAACATGCCGCATTTGACATTAACTAATGTCTCCTATTAACACTGAATGAAACAGATCTGGAAAAATTCATTTGCAAGCAGAGTTCAAACAGGCCACAAGGAGAGGTGGATTCTCAGCTGTGTCCTGGATATTTCTGTGGTGAAGCCAAGCATCTGCAAGAGGGGTCAGGGATAAAGGCAGCACATCATTCTGGGTGCAGGGAAGAGAAAAACCAGATCCCCCCTAAAACCTGGCTGTGAGAAGGGTGCATCTCTGATCGGCCCCGGGCAGACCTACCGGCAGGGGGTTGAAGTTCTGGTCCACCAGGTGGTTGTGGCCATGGTCAAGGAAGGAGTGCCGCACCACTACATCAATGCCTTGGCTGGCCAGCAAGCCCAGTGTGTTCAGCCACCTGTGTCAAGGAGACAGGGTTAGGCCACCACAGGGACCCCAGCTTGTCTGTGCTCCCACCCGTTGTGGTGTCACCAGCAAACTAAGCCAGCCCCAGCCCACGTGTCCTGGGCATGTTCCTATGCCTGCCCCTGGAGCAAGGAAACTCTTCCTTGATCCTTTGTGATTACGGTTAGCTCTGAAGATTGCAACAGGATCTATGTGCTACTGAGCTGTGCCATTGGACAAGCCTGAGGATCCAGCAATAGCTGTGGCTTCTAGAAGGGCAGAATATGGTTTCCAGACCTGGACCTTGTGCTCTGAAGAGCTTCAGTTGCCCAGAGAGGGATGCAAGGAGTGAATGCATGCAAGGGCTGCAGAATGGCAAGAGGGCGGCGAGGCTATGGGGTGCAAGCCCTGACCCCAGAGCTGGGGTGCATAGGGGAGCGCTGTGCACAGAGCCTGTACAGGTGGCAGTGCCCTCATGCCAGGAGCTGTGTCACTCACAGGAACCCGGCCGCATAGGAATCGGAGAGGTTGTTCATGCCTCCAGCAGAGGTAGCACCAACGCCTTCCAGCCAGATCTTCTTGCCCGGTGTGTATGTGTTCACAACCTGTGCAGGGAAAAACAAACATCAAATGCAGCACCTCTCTCCTCTTCCCACAGGGCAGGTGCAATTTGCATGTCTCTGACAAGTAATGGCTGTGTTCAGTATAGAGACTGTGGCAGGGGCACCCTGCAATGGGAGGAGAAATAGCTGCCACTGTGGAAGCAACATGGGACGGGGCAGCCACAGTTGGGCACCAAAGCACCAGGGGCTCCAGATGCACGGGCACCACACAATGAATCCTCTCCAGCAATCTCGCTTCTCCAGGCCGGGCTATGAGCTCCTGCAGCCAGATGTCTGCAAGCTCCACAGCCCAGGAGCACGCTGCACAGCCTGACGGATCCTGCCCCATTAGTGAGGAACACTGGAATGTGCTGGATGGACTGGGATCCCTCAAAGCTGTTAAATACGCCAGCTCTGGGCTGCCTCCCACTCACAGCCTGTGAGAGTCGACATCCCTGACTGAAGCCCCAGAGGTGTTGGCATCCTGCCTGTAATTATCTAAGCCCGCCACCTTCCCCAGTCAGAGAGGAAGCAATAAAACAGGGAAGTGGACAAGCCCAGCTGCTCTAATCAGCCCCGGCAGGATGCACGGACTCAAAGCCAAGCTGGAGGCTATTAGCACCCAGCACTGTGCTTTTCCTCAGCCACACTGGCATTCCCAGGAGAGCTCTTCCCACTCCCCAGGCCCAACAGAGGGCAGCTCCTCAATGCTGCGGGTCTGAGGCTGGATGGGAACCAGGACCCCCCAGGGCTGCACCATATCTACACCTTGCTTTCCTGACAGTCCCATGACCTTCTCCAGCAGTGAGACATGTATCACCAGTTTAGTGCAGAGCAGGGTGGGATTGTGCTCCATGCTTGTCCCTGCACCCAACTCATGCTTCCTGCCAAAGGTGGGTCACTCATGTCTGGGGATGGTCCCCAGCTTGTGCAGGACAACACAGCAATCAGCTCCTATCCTCTGGTTTTGCTGTGCCGACCCACATGTCCCCTTTCCTGGGGCCTCTTTGAGTTGTTTGCTCATCCTACAGTTTCTTCTTGCAGGAATTACAGCAGCGAGATATAGTGGTGACTGATACAGTATGAAAACCTTGACAAGACAGACAAATGGACGTCCTCTCACTCCAAAACACTTTGCTCTTAATAGATGTTCATCCTTTGCTGTGGGACTGGCAGCTGAGCTGCCCACAGCCCTGCTCCCTGCAGCAGCTGAAACAGGGGACTCGCAGAGTCCTCATTTCCTACACAGTGGCTGCAGCCTGGAGCTGTCCTGTGGGCAGTAGGGATGGAGTGGCTCGCTGCATGCCATGCTGTCCAGAGCAAATCACAAATCACCTTGGAATTGGAATAGACACCTAGGGCTGGCCAGGTTGCTACCCCATCTCCTCCTCCATCCCCAGGGTGGAGATACCATCCCTCCACCACACCATGCAAGCACTGGGATGCTGCACCAGCCCCACACCTTGAGCAGCACCCAGCCCAGGCACTGAGCTGCAGTACTGTGGGCACAGTGCCCTCTCACCCTCGCAGACTCTGTGCACTCACTTACTTTCTGGATTTTCCTGATCTGGTCAGACAGTGTGTCTAGCAGGCGTGTTTTCAGGAAGTCGGTCACTTTGGCCACTCGGCCATCGATGTAGTAACTGCAGGGAAAACAAGATGACAAGAATGAAACCACTGGTAGTAGTTCTGCCCCTGTCCATGTCCTTCTGTCCCACTGCTGTTTCACACCAAGAAGCCTTTTTCCCTCCAGGAGAGGACCTCTGCAGAGGTGCTCTGTCCTCTCCTGCATCCCTCGTCCTGCTAACATAGGAGTGCCTGCTGCCCTGGACATGGCACTGAGCATTTCTCATCCAGGGGATTCCTGCTCTCCACATGCTCACTTCAGTGAAACATGGTTATAGTGCTGCCAATCAGAATCCGAATCATCTGCATCCAGGTGTGGGAGGAAGGCTTTGAAATGCCTGAGTGCTGGCTCCTGTTTCCAGGACATAAGGTGAAGCAATCCATCTTTGGGGTGCAAACATCCTGAATTGGAGTTGGTCCCAAATGTCTTGTCCTGAAGGAGAGATCAGTGCTGTCACCCTTCACACAGCAGCCATAGCTGAGGCAATGCAGAGGAGCAGGAGGTCTCAGGATGGTAGCACAAATCCTATAGTGTCTACATCTGTCCTTTCAGTCCCTTCCAGGCATGCTAGGCTGCTGCACTGCGGGTTCTGTGAGCTGCCCTCCAACCTTTGTCATTGGTGCTGGAAAAATGGCAGGGAAAGAGGCTCCCTCAGTAGTTGAAACATGGAGATGTGGATAAGAAGAGTGCAGCAGGGCTTTTTGGTAATGCATGGGATTCAAGGATGCTGTTGTAGACAGATACATATGTATCAGGGGTTGCATGCTCCACTTGTTGTCCTGGGGTGTGAAAAAAAGGCAGATTCACCTTCCCAGAAGTATCAGCTCCTTTACAGTTGTGGTTTCTCTATGACAAGCATCTCATCCAGGGTAAGGCCCCATGTGCACTGGGCAGCCCATTGCTGAGTGTCTCTGTGAGATTGAGTCTAGCAGACGAGAAAGGCAGCAGTGACGTCTCCTTGCAGGGATGCTGTTAGCAAAGCAAGCAGCCAGCAGCTGTGGGACCTCCCCACATGGGTACAGGGGTGCACACGAGGGCAGGAGCCTCCACAAAGGATGCTGCAGCTTGAATCAGGCTTGGCAAGGACACGCAGAACACGTGCAATATGCATGAACGCTCAGAGAAGATTTTAGCTTCTCACTGCTCCAACTCACTGATCAGGTAACGGGGTAAGCGTGCTTGGAGCTGTGCAGGGCTGCAGGGGAAGGCGAGCAGCCAGCACTGCCTGGCCCAGAACGGAGACGAATTACAGACTCAACTTGCAGATGCCCTGAACATGAAGGGTCTCCTCTGCAAATCCTCTCCCAGGTGTGAAGTTCCAGCTTTGTCCTCCAAAAAACTCAGCATCGTGCCAGCCAGACTCTGGATTCACTCCAACCCTCTGTAACGGGGGGAAGTAGGAAAGAGGCATTTTGGCGCATCTGTGCTGACAATACGGTGCTAAGGGCAGAAAGTTTCTCAGGGAGGGGGACTTGGGAAGTGTTCGACGTTGTTCAAATCAACCCTTATACAACACAGAACCGCTGGCTGCTGTGAGGACAGCAGGCCTGTGAGCAGCAGGCAGCGAGGGGGTTTACAGAGATTACTTTTTAAGACAAAATTACAAAGCAGCAGACTCTGGGGATGGCAGATGTTTGGATTTTAGTACAGCACTTAAGAACTGAACAGAAATGATTTTTGGACTGCTGTGGCAAAAAAAAACCCACCATCACCTGGGCTGAAAACTGGCTGCAAGGCCATAAAAGGAAGGTTGTATGAGGTGGGAGAAGATGAAGTTAAAGACCTCAGCCTACAGCTGAGAACAAGATCTCCGCTCTAACCAGAAGCAGCCCTGGGGCACAGCCACCACCAGGGTCACTGCACACCTGCACTAACAAGCTGGAGAAACAGGGGATGGCACAGGGATGAATAAACCTGCTGCTTCAGTTTCAGGACATCTTGCTGATAGCTCATACTCCATGGCTTTGGGTATTTAAGCAGAGCCTGAAGGCAATTCCATGATTCCTCTAAGGTTGGCAGAAATCTATTCTCAGGCACCAAGAAGTCCATTCAACACCCAAAAGTGGTTAAGAGAGAAAACGGCATCAGCCACACAAGAACTATGAACTGAGGCCAAAAGGATGGGCTGGAGCTTCCCCAGCTAGGCTGAGGTCTCTGGAGCACTGGGACAAGCTGAGCGGTACCAACACAGGCTGGTGGGTGGGTGCTGGCTATGGTGTGGCACCAGGGTTGGCCCCAAAGGCCATGTGGATGCAGGGCACGTGAGTTTCCATAGCATAGGCCACCTGACTTGACTGCTGCCCCAGGTGACTGCTGTCAGCCCAGCACACCTCAGTCCTGTCACCTCTGGGCTCACGCTGTCTGTCTCACTTTTCTCTGGAAAGATCCACAACTTGCTGCGCAGGACCATGAGCATCGCGCTGGGTTTAATGAAGGCAGTGCACTGGCTCCTGGGCAGCTGGTTTCATTTACCTCCTTTCATTTTAAAGAGGAACCTTTGCCCCTATTATCTGACCTCTTCTTCTGTTGCAGTTAATTACATTAAAGCCCACTTCCCAAAGCTCAGGAATTTCCGGATCTACTTTGTTGCCTGCTGCTACAAGGAGAGTCTGCTAGGAATTAGGGCACCAGCCTGCTGGGGACGTGAACGGGACCGGCCTCACTGCCAGCATCACACCAACTGCTACCAAATGGAGACACCTCTGCTGACACAGGCAGCCCTGTGCTCTGCCACTGTCCCATATGCCAAGGCCAGAGAGATGTCATCCAAACTCAGCATAGCAAAGCACTTTAAGCAGCATCCCATATGTATCTGTGTGCATGACATCCCCAGTTTGCCACATGGAATGAGTGACTTTCCATATTGGAAGGTAGCATCATATTCTCCAAAGACTTGAAGAGATAGATGCCCATGGCTTTGAAGATGCAAACATCTACTTGCCTTGCAAATAAATGGATTTGTGGGCTGCAAAGACAGCCTTGCACAAGGATTTGCCCATTAGATTTGCCAAACTTTGAGGTCTGCACAGCACTTTTGGGTGGAAAACCAGCCGTACAGGACACACAGAAAGGGGACCAGGGCATGGCCACAGGTTAGGGAGACAATGAATCTTCACTGTGTGTAAGACACCAAGCTTTGGAGCAGAGCCAAAAGGAGATGTGGCTGTGGGAAGGGTTCTGAACTGTGGAAACCCACCTTCAAAGACTGAGGGGGTCCACAATTAAACTGAGCATTCACTCATAACCAAACCATAAACTAAATTACACAAGAAATGCCAAAAGTCTCCAAGCCACTGTCAGTCCTAATTGCCACACCCTCTGCTAGTGGAAATTCCCTAAATATTTTTGAGCCATTCACACATCCCTCTCCAGCAACACATTACTTCTGAAGAGGGAGGCACACATGCTGAGTTACATATGTAAGTGAAACCATACTAAGAAAGACTGGCAAGCCTGCTTATTTACACCCTGTGTCACTTCTCAGATGTATTTCAGAGAAGAAGAAATGGTCGTGTGTTTTCACAGAGGACAGGGATCTCTGCAATGTATTCCCTTCTCAATTCCCCTTCTGGATAGAGTGCAACCTTTTCAAAGGAGTAACAGATTTGACAAATTTATAACCAATATCCCAGGAGAACGTTAGGGTTTGGAACAGAAAGGCTCATAGTTGCAGTTAGAGAGCAGTTTGGTTTCCTGCTAATAATTTTCTTCTTGGATACAAAAGAGCTTGTTTTGTTTTGTTTTGCTGTTTGGAGCAGAGGGATGAGACACTGTTTTGACATTTACTCATAAACAGTACAGAAGCCCAGATTGGAGCTGTGGCTATTGTCAGTCCTCTCAAAAGCAGACGGGTGCAACCCTCCCAAGCTGGAAGCCCAGGCAGAGGGAGCAGTGGCTCCCATACCTACCTGTGTGGGAAGTGCTCAGCAAGTGACATCCCAGCCACACTGCCTACCTGCAGGGAGCTGTACCCCCACCTGCCCACAGCACCCGGTCCCAGAAGGAAGGATCCCTGAGCCACAGCTCCCTGCACAAAGGCTGGCTGCTTCTTCCTGCAGTGCATCCAAGGGCTTGGCCCAGCCATCAAGCCCTGTTTCAGCAAGCAAATTCCTGGGCTAAGTAAATGCGATCAGCACATCGTGTAATCATGAAAAGCAAACTCCCAGCTGAGGCATAGATCATCATTGCACAGCATGAGTCTGTAAGTAACACAAATCCCACTCCAAACACTCTGCTACCCCACTGCCCTGCTTGCACAGAGCTGCTGCCTCAGGGAAGCCTCAGGAGTCAGGTAGCGGAGCAGCACGGCAAGGCACGTGGCTCCCCAGAAATGGGACTTGCTGGGTGCCAGCCAGAGCTGCTGCCATAAACCACTCTCAGATGCAGACAGTTGCTTCTGCAGGAGGCTCCGAGGTTAACACACCGACACACAGAGCCCCTGGGCTTACTTGCAGGAAAACCTCACGTCTTAAAAACCACTGAGCTCTTTTTAAGTGTAGGTCTCCAGGTGGGCTTTACAAAAGGAACTGGGATCTGCAGGAGAGGAACAAATGCCCCCATAACCTGGCCAGTATACCTCAGAGAGGTTGTGGATGCCCCTCCCCTGGAGGCATTCAAGGCCAGGCTGGATGTGGCTCTGGGCAGCCTGGTCTGATAGTTGGCGATCCTGCACATAGCAGGGGGGTTGAAACTAGATGATCAGTGTGATCTTTTTCAACCCAGGCCATTCTATGATGATTCTATGATGTGCCAGGAGGGGACCGGCAGCACTGACAGGTGATGGGATACTCTGAATGGAAGGGGATGAGATGGCATGCTCCACTCCAGCAAAGTAGCCTGAGCTCCCTTGAAGGCCCAGTGCTAAGCTCAAGTTGAGGACAGAAGCCCAGCCAGGACCAGAGACCCCGACTTCTCTGCTCAAGGCACCAGAGCAAATGCAGTTTTTCAAGACGCAGGGAGGTCTCACCCTGCTTTCTGCTTCCAAAGCTGCATGCCATCAGCCTAGCTTTGGACCAGCTGCCATGGGGCTTGGTTTCCAGCAGGCAGGCATGTTTTTAGCCTGTCTCAGCTGCAAGCATCCGGGGTGAAACAATACCACTTCTGCTGCAGAAGAAGGGGCAATGCCTCTTTTTCCTATTTAAAGGACAAGGACAGCAGAGGTGGCTCCTACTATTTGTCCCCTTCCACACCCAGCCAGCCCATTCATTTTGCTCCAGACACTGTCAGATCACTGCAATTAGTGTAGGAAAGCAGAAGGAATGGTGAATACCTACTGTTGCCAGGTAACAGCATCCACTGTGCTGCCAGCCACTTTCATGAACCTACAGAAAACAGAGGAAGAAATCACGTAAGACCAAACTTATCACAGATGTCCAAAAGTAAGGGGAAATCCTAAAACAACCTACATCACAGGATACCAAGGATGGTCACTTTTGAAGGTTAGAATGCATATAGGCAACAGGAACCATTGGTTTGGTCAAGAGAACACAACGGTGCTCTTTGGTGCACAGATATCCAGGAGCACAGGGGTGCACAGAGATCCTCGCTGCCCAAGGAAGGGAGCTGCATGTCCTGCAGCCCTGACTGCCCCCATCTGGCCTGCAACCAAGGGTGGGAGAGAAAAGAGAAGGTTTGTGGGGAGAGATGGGACATTTGATTAGGCCAGCTGGCAAGGGAGGGAGAAGCACCCAGCAAGCTTTGCAGCACACAAGCCTCTAATCAGGTCTGAAAAAAAAGAGCAGCAAACTTCAGCCTAAATATAGCTTGGAAACAATCATTCTAACTTTAAATTAATGACGATAGTCAATTATAGACTGGGACGAAAGGGCATCTGGACCCTGTGAAGCATAAGAGGACACTGGCAAAGGCAGAGGTAATAAATCCCTGCAGACAGGAGGGAAGAGACACAATTAGAAATGGAAAAACAATAACGTGCCGTAATAGCACTGATGTGTCCCCGCTCCTGCTGCCCAGCAGTGCAGTGGCTGTCAGTTCCCAGGCTTACTCTCCAGCAGCATTCTGTGTCTCTATGAGGGGCAGCAGAGCAGTGGCTTTGGGGCCAGCTCCTCCCTGGCCATCCAGGGCAGCAGGACAGAGCAAGAAGCACAAATCCTGCACCACTCATGCAGGGCACCTGGCTCAACGGTGCTGCACACTAAGTCACAAAAGGCACCTGCTGAGGATGCTCCTCTGCAGAACTCACTGCTTGCACCGTGCCTGCAATATCACTGCCAGCACACCCGTCTTTGTGCGAGAACTGAAAGCAAAACCCCACAACCTCCAGCATCCCTAGAGTAGTAGAAGCAGTGCCTCTGTCAGCTCTGTCTCCTTAGGAAACTAACAGACCTCTTAGTTTTCCTTTTCTGTCCCCAGGAGAGCAAAATACATTGACTATTTCTACTCATTTTCAATTTTTTCTATTAAAGATACATAACCACCCAATTTTGCTTTCTGCGTCTATTTTTCTTTCCACCTTTAAATGGAGATTTGTTGCACGTTACAGATCAGAATTTCCTGTTAAATCTTTGAGTCTTGATGATGAAGCTGTGCATGGAGCGCATTGGATAACTCAAGCTCTGGGAACCTGGATCAGCTCAATAGCCAGCAAGTGGTACTGCAAGAGCCAGAGATAAAAGCATAGTGCAGGTGGAGACCCAGCAGTGCACAGGTATCCGAATATCCACAGCTCAGGAATGCAGATGTTATTAATCCCTTTATTCCTGTAGCACCTGTGCTGCTCAAACCTCGGATTTCAAGGCCGGTGAAGAACCATGCAGACCTGCAGTCCGACCAGAGCTGGCACACGTCTGTCTGGGATTTCCTGGGCTGTGCGATGTGCACATGTGCAGCACCACGCAGGCAGAGCAAACCAGAGGCTTCCGGCATGGATCAGATCCCTGCACATGTGCCGTGCAGATGCTCCGTGCTGGTGCAGTAAATCTGCCATTTCCTTACGCTGGGCTCTGCAAGCACCACTGAACTCTGAGATGCACATGCACTGAGTCACCTCTAGGAGCCGCGGGACAAGCTCAGCCTGCTTAGGGCAACATCCCATAATCTAGGAGGCAGCCCCCAACCGCTGCAGCATCCCTGGCTGGGCTTCCACGTGGCAGAAACCTCTGCACATCCTCAGAATCTGATGAGGCAGAGCCTCCGGGTGGGAGAGAATACATCTCCTGTCCTGATTCAATCCCCACCAGTCATGGAGCACCCACTGCGACCTCACGCAAATTGCTCCCATGGCTAATTAGCTTCCAAGTATGTTATTTCTCATCTGAATGTGTCTGTCTTCAGCTTCCAGCCACTGGAACTTCCTAGGCTTATTCCTGATACATTAAAGAGCCATCTGCATTTGGAAATCTCTTTCCCATGAAGGTAATTGCTGATTGTCAACCTTGAAATAAAAAATAAAAACAAATTAAAAAGCTATCCTGTAGCAAAGAATGCAGCTGCAGAAGGGAGACAAATGACCACCTCACAGCCTCCCAATGGTTTAGCACTGTTTGACTCCCAGAGCTGGACTTCACAACCATGGGTTGTTCCATCTGGTACGCCCTGGTGAACTATGCAAGCCAACTGCACCATAGCTTTGCTACCAGAAGAGCTGGCTCTGGAAAGCTGGGGCCACAGCCAGGCTCTGGAGGACAGCACACTCCTATCTGTATGGACTTTTCTGCCTCACCACCTTTCTTACAAGTAAACGGGGTCAGCACCCATTCCGTGGCTCCAGCTAGAGCAGCCTACTTCATCTCTGCTCACGTGGAAGGCATCGCATACCTCTGCACATCTCTGTAACATTCCTGGTTCTATTACATCTTTTCTGAGATGAAATGACTGAGATTGTAGATAGCAATCAGGATGAAGGCACACCATGTACCCATACAACACTATCATCTCATCTGTGTCTTTTCTTGCTCGCTTTGTTCTCCCTGTACAGGTGATGGTGCTTTCAGCTTTTCAGCCATCCAGATCCGGTTTCAGTTACAAAGATTGCCTTAACTCTTTCCTCCTGAAAGAGTAATAGATGGACCCTTTGCTTGTATCTTAGATCTTCACTCCCACTATAAAACCAGCTGCAAAATGCCTGATCACATTCTTCACATCCTGTTTCAATGTATTTATGAATGCATTTCAATGTATTTATGAATGCACGTCCACAAGCTTAATGGCACATGAATGTAAGTTTACGCTGCAGTGTCCTTCCCTTTGCATCATTAGTTCCTTGTGGCTTCATTTTTTCCACAGAATTCTTGCTCTGGACCCATGCAGTATCCTGTTTCAGCCTGTGCCACCTCCACAGGAGATGCAGCACTGAGAGATGGCTCTTGGGACCAGCAGATTCCATGGGATCAGGACACAGAGCCACCTTCTGCCACCCTTGATGCCAGCAGTCCTTGGGACCACCTGGGCAAAAGATTATTGCGTTTTGTTCCAACAGCATGAGCCTTAACACATGTTAGCATCCTAATAGCTTTCCCTCATGTTTCTTCTCTTTCAGCACTGAATATATGATTCAGTGATACATTAACCTTGTGTCTGATTCCTGATCTACTGTTAAAATCTTTGTTAAATCTTTGTTAACTCCTTAGAATCTTACTTTTTTTTTTTTTTTCTCCAAGCAATTTTTGAGCAGTCCTGGGATTCCTGTACCCACAGACACAGTAGGTAGCTAAGGTGGCCTGCTCTCTGACAGCTCAGGCTGCATGAATAGTCTAATTAACACCTCATCAAACTCAACTGTGAGTGGTGTCTGGAGAAATTCCCTCTTGCACCTGTGCACTCGCATGTCCCCATTCCCCATTTGTTGCCTCCTGTGCAGCAGGGATTGCAGAGCCCATCCCTGTGGCAGTGGTCTGTCCTGTGGGGCAGCCCCAGGTAGCACTCACGTGCTCTGTGCCATTTCCCCGTGTAAGGTCCTTGCACCCCAGCAGTGAAGGGTGTGCTGTCATCACTGAGTAGGGCAAAGCTTGGTGCAGAGAGCAAGGCACTGTTCATGCTGACACCACCATCACTGCAGGACAAGGTTTAGACATAAAGAATAAGTTAAGTTTGGCGTGGTGGCTAGAAATAACAGTTCAAGAGTAGACTGCAATGTTTGGAATACAGGACGTGCAACTGGGAATTGTGATTTTACATAATGCTTCATACTGAGAAGCTTTTCTTTGAGCATCTCCCCACTCAGATAACTCAGGGGGCTTTCCCTGGAGAGCACCTAATGTCAGCTTCTGTTTTCTTCTACTGTTGAAAATCATTTCCTGCTCTCTGTGAGCTCTCCTTTCCTTCTTCAACTCATTTCCATCATTTATCTCACCAAAATTCACTTGTACACTCTGTGTAATATGAATTTCTTTCCTCTCAGACTAAGCCAGCCGTTCTGCCTTCTGTGCTGGGCTGTCTCATCTCTCCGCTCCAGCCTTAATGACCACACCATAACCTCCAATTTAGTATCTCTTCCAACCAGCTTGACTTCTGCTGTTCATCACATTTTTTTAAACGAGAGCAAATCTTTGTACCTCTCATATATCAGAACTATGGACTGCATGTACTTGATCTGCTCCGCAGCCTTCATCCAAGCACTGCACAGACCATTCATGGTGCTCCAACAAGGTGGGCAGAGCATTGCCATTGAAAGCACCTCCCGAAATTTCTTCTGCTTGCTGGCTTTTGTGGGGCTCATCTGGGATCTCCAGAGGCAAGCCTTGTCTGTGATAGCTGCAGGTACAGCCCATGGACCAGTGCTGTGATGCTCCTGCAGAAGGCAGACAGTTCTCAGTAGCACAAACCAAGAGCGCTGAGGAGACCTCGGGGAGCTGCTGGGAATAAAGCTCGTGCTGTCAGCTTAGGCACTGGGTTTTATTTGTTTGTCCTTTTGCAACTCTGCTTCCAAATACTGCAAATGAGCGTTTAACTCTTTATCTTCTTTTAATTCAACTTGTTCCTTGTCTTTAAGCCTTGCCTAGTAATACTATGGTCTTTATGGAGAGAAACTACTGGTTCTTTCCCACAGAACCCCTGGCTGCAAGGCTGGATGCACGGACTGCTCACCATGAGCTGCAGGCACTGGGTATGGGGTGCAGGACACAAGGGCTCAGCCACAGGGGCGGGGATGGCAGTGAAGTAACAGTACATATCTTAGAGAACAGACATGCCCCTTGCAGCTTTCTTGTCTGGTGGACTGGAGAGCCCCCACCGCTCTACATACCCCATTCCCTTTCATTCAAAGATGGGTTTCCATCACCTTTCCCACCGCACTGTACACTACAGCCCCACTCCTGAGTCACACATCAGCTAACATGTGGCTCTGGAGCCAAGAGACCCCCGACCATGCTGCTCCACCATCTCCTTCCCCAGGACCCTGCAGCGACATGCAGAGGGCAAACGCAGCAGCAGGACTTCCCCTTGTCTGAGAGCTCCTTGGCTCCCATCCCTCTTGTTTTCCTTTCTCAGCCTGCTCCGCCTGGTGCTAACAGAATTCCTGCTGCTCAAGGCTACTACAGCACATTGCAGCTCCCTGAGCCGCTCTCACTGTGCTGAGCAAGCCCTGGAGCTGCAATGCCCACCTGGCATCAGCATGGATGCAGCCATGGTGCCCAGAAGGGGCTGCTCCCTGGCTGCCAGCAACGTTAGGGATACTGGCCTCGCAGCTGGGTCAACCAGCTTTATGGGCTCTGTGTGCTGCTGCAGCAGAGCTGAGAATCTGGCCCTCACTCCCTGCCTGCCTCGCCGGGGACCACATCAGTGTGCTGTTTATTGTTTCTGCCAGATCATTCATGCAGATGTTAATGAATGTGAGACCCAGCTTTGCTCCCAGCAGAGTCCCTTCCACACCTCCCCCTGTCCAGCCCTCTGCGCTGGAGTTTCTGTTTACAGTCCTGCAGGGAATTTCCCCTCTGCTGGATGATCTTCGAGCCCCCACGGTCCCAATTCCTGCTGCCAGCAGGCTCCCACACCTCCCTGGTTCCTGTAGCTGGCCAATGTCACCTCCAGCTGTCCAAGTCCCTTACTGTCACCATTTCTTCCCCACGCTCCTCTCTTCAGCCTCCCCAAACTCCAGCCAGACCTGCCTGTTCTCCTATCCATCAGTTTAAGAATACACCAGCAGACCCACCCCAGCATCGCTGTCCATTCCTGAGTGCCATTTTTACCTAAAGAGATGAAAAAGAAACCAAGAAGCTAAAGGCAGAGGGTCAGTATAATCAGTGGAAGTCACAGTGGTGTGATTGTGGGATGTACTGGTGGAACAGGATCATAGCACTGAATGGTGCCAGGTACAGTGTGACAGGCAAAACCTTCTTCAAGGGACAGCAGGAAGGGAGGTAAGGGCATTTCCCAGACAGGTCATGAACTCTGCTGGTGAAAGGGATCCGAATCTCAGTGCCACAAGCAGAAAAACTGTTTGTGTAACTTGGTCAGAATCAATGTGAGCAATCATGAGCAAAAATGCTTTGACAATGGCTCTGTGCAATACATTATCCTCTGCACAGGATGGAGCAGTGATGAAGAAAGGCACTACCAGTTTTCCTTCTGCACAGATAGAGAAAGCACAGGGAGAAGCAGCTAACAAACAGAAGGAGCAAAGTGGTGCCAGGACCCACCTCCTGGCCTCAAAACCTGCAGCTGTGTAGCAGCCTCTAACTGCATCCCTGCATCCCAGCGGGACGAGCATCTCGTCTTCCTGTAACTGGGAAACACTGGAAGCACTTGGGGAATGGCAGTTGGCCCAGACCAAACAAAACAGCATCACTTACCCTTCCAAGAGAGCCATGACATTCTTCCTGGGTCTTCCAATGTTCGGCCCATAGAGGTTTGCTCTGGAATAGGTACGGATGAGCTGCAGCAGGCTCCTCAGCTGAATGTAGTCCTTCCCCAGCTGGCTGCCGTTCACTGAGCGGCCAATCAAGGTCCGGTAGTTATTGGGCTCTGGGAAAATAAGAACAGATGGGCAAGGCTTGCTACCTCTGCTCTTCCATCTCCTCTTCTGGAGAGAGCTCACGTGCTGTCATGCAGCTCCTCAGATCAGTCAGCAGCACAGAGCTGCTGAGCAGTGGATGTGGGCTGTGACCACTCTGCTTTGCCAGTTGAACAGAAGCTGTGGGCCTTCTCCTCCAGAATGAGCCCCTTTGGCTAGAGCTGGGTGAGGACCTGCACCTCGTATCATCCTCCTGTGCCCAGGGGATGCCTGCTTCCCTTGGCACTGCAGCTGCTGTGCAGGTCCATGCAGCTGCCGCTCCGCCCACCCCAGGACCAGCCATGCCCCACAGCAGGAGCCTTCAAATCCCTCTGAACATACATTCAAGTGTCCTGGGACTCACGGACATCCTCTTCCCAAAGAGAACACCACTCGGCATTCCCAGGTCTCCCCGTTCCCACACTCACCATTGCCCAGCTCCCAGGAGATGTTGTATTTCTTGCTGGCACTGTACTTCAGCAGGCTGAGTGCATTGGAGCTGTTCCAAGAGTTATTGGGATTTCGACGCAGAGCATTCAGTGCAAAGATCAGGTGAAGGCCAGAGCAGTCAGCAAAGTTATAGAGTTTGTCTAGAGACCTGGCTGGGAAGAAACAAAACACAGCTTGTAATTCAAATGAAAGCCAGTTCCAGGGAGGTTCAAATGATCCTGCTGTCCATCAGACCTCAGCTCCTGTGTGGATGAACTGGGGTCAGGTGCCATCCCTGTGACATCTGTGACTGCAGAAGCGCACCTGACCTTTGAAACTGGGATAGGATTCCAGGCATGGGCTAAACTCCTTCCAGCATAGAACTTGGACGCTCTCCACTGCCGTGTCGAAGCTAAGGGCAGCGTTACCAGAGACAAGAGGCTTTATAATGTCTCTTTTCATCTGCTCCTGGCAAGGAAATATCAGCCTCTCCTGAGCTCATCCCACCTGGCACCGCTTCTGGGACAGCGCTGGGGAGGAGAGGAGCTGCAGAAGGAACCACCAGCTCAGGGTCACCTCCTGCACACTGTGACAGCACCATGGGTACTCCTCTTGGGTCTTGGGGTCGTCGTTGGCTCCAGTCCCGCCCTTGTCCCCAGGTTCCCAGAGTGCTGAGAGCTGTGGAGCCCCAGGGATGGGAAGGCTGAGTGCAGGCTGGGGACTATGGAGCAGTGAGTCCTGGAGAGACAGCTTGGGCAAGCAACCATGCTGCTTGGCAGCACTCACACGGTGTAAGGAGATGATCAACAGCCACAGCAATGTGTCAAGAACAAACCATGCTGAAGTCTTCACTGGCAGAACAATAGCACCACTGTAGGTCTTATACCTTGATGATTTTTAAGGCTTTTGACATGACTGCACATCAAGTTCTCTCTGGCAAGCAAGGTGACCGTGCTTTGAGAGGTAATGCATACACTGAGAACTGCTATCGGTTATCTAACGTTCAGTGGAAGAAACCCAAAGGGTGTAGGCAGCCTGCCCTGAATCTTCTTACACTTTGCCAGTAAAGAAGAGCAGATCAGAGCTGCTAGGGCATTAAGGTGCTGCTGTGCACCCCCACGGCCAATGGAGCTGAAGAGGATAGCGAGGAGACATGGCATGCGGCAGTGTTGTGCCACTGCTGTGCCACACTACATGCATGTGGCACTGTGACCTGCCCTGGTCCCTGAGAACCACAGCAAACGTGGAGCTGCCCCTGAGGTCTGAGGAGAATAAACTTATTTTGAAAGCAGTGCATTAGGAGGCTCACAGAACTCAGCTGAGTTGTTGTTTATTAGATTGCAGCAAAGGCATGGGAAGACGAAAGGAAAAATGTAGAAAAGAAATTGCCAATCCTCATATAGGCTTTTTTTTTTTTTTTTTTTTTTTTTTTTTTTTTGTAATGCTTCTGGTTGTTTAAGTGAAAAGTAGCTGAGTTAGATTATCCTAATGCATTCATCCCACTGGCTCAGGCACATTAGCTGGTTTTCTGGATGCTTAGTGGATTAGAGACAGATACAGTTACTTAATACTCATTTACTTCAGACCTTCGGGCAAAAAGCTGTGCTTGAAATGACATTTCTGTGAAAGGGATAAGATAGACAACCCCATGACAACAGGAAGACAGCCGAAAGGTGTCACCTGCAGCTCCCCTGATAAAAATGAAATCTTTTCACCAGTGCAAAACAGCCATAGTTCTTAAATGTTACAGGAGGGATTTTGTTTCTATTTAGGAGTCTCCTTAGAGGGCTGGGAATTGATTTTCCATGCATCGACCGGAGGAAACAAGCTGCCTGTTCACCCCAGCACAGGCCCTGCCACTGTGAAATTCTATTTTCCCCACGACACTTACTCTGTTTCTGTGAGCCTGCATACAGATACCTCATGCATTTTGTGCTCTGCCACGAATTTCCAAGCTGAAAACCACCATGGGGTGGTACGGAAGGGAACCACCAACCCTAACAGGAGACCCTAACAGACTCGATGCCCAGCTGGCACCAGCTGCCCACCCACTGTGCCCATCTGATGTCTCTATTGCAATCAGCATTGAGGTGGGAAGAGCTCAGCCGCAGGTCACTAAACCACAGTGCAAAGCATATTGTGAAGACCCTGAGCATTGATTGTCCAGCCCTTCATAAGTACAAACGGCCCAAAGAAATTGCTGTAAATATTTTACTGCCATGACTAGGGATGGCCACATTACTTCTGAATAATGAGAACATGAAGAATCGCAGTATTATTAACAGCTGGCTAAAACTCACTTTGAATTCTGGATAATTGCACCATTTTTTCTTCATCGAACACAGAAAATCTTCCAGGAATTTAACCTTTCCCCAGCTAACAGATCATTAGGCAAGGCTTTCACAAAGCTTTTCAATAGACAAAGCCATTGTCGTACCAGAATGAATCTTAATAGAGCAGAACTGGATTTATATGATGCTCTCGCTGCCCCTTTTCCCCCTCCACCCACTGCAGGCACACATACTCAGAGAGGGAATAAAGCAAATAAAAGAAACCCATATACGTTAGCATAAGAAAAAGCAATAAAGCACCGACTTTAGGGCATATAGGTGCAAAAACCAAGGCAGAGGACCCAGTTAGCTGTCATGATGGTGTACTGGAGCCTTCCTCTGGAAGCTCACACCCCATGGTCCTAGCACTAGGAGAATTTAAAGGCTGTCTGGGTCTTGTTGATTCTTTACAACCTTGCATTTGAAGGTCTGGACACATCTGAAGAGCTAAAACCGTGCTACAAGGCATGACCAGGTACAGTGGGTGATGATCTGCTCACATTCCAGCTGCTTGCACAGATCTCTCACCCTGAACAGAGGGAAACAAATGACTTCAGAATGCAGAGATGTGTCTGTGTGGCCACAAATGGTGGTGGGGCTCATGGGGCAAGTATGTCCTGTGGGATTCTTTTCTTTTTATATGGGGCTGAATTTTAACATTCTCTGAAAGACGGATGGCACTTAACTCAGCAGCCTGCCAACACAAAATCTGAGGCACATTAAGACATCTCTGGCAGTTTAAAATAATTGCAAAGAGTTTCCAGTCTTCATTACTGAGTTAAACGTTATACTAGAGGCTTTTTAGAGAACACAGCCTGGACTGCCATTTGATTAGAGGGACAGCTCAACAATCTCTGGGTTTGAAAGCCTTCCACATTTTTTATTCAGCTTCAGAAATCCTGCTTTGGCAGGGTGAGCCTGGAAACCCATGTGCACGCTGAGCAGGAGCTGGAGCCTGGGTGGTGGGGCACAGCACGGCATGTGGGGGCAAATGCAGAGCAGATGAAGCCTTCTGTTTGTAAAGCAAATAAATGCAGTTCTAGGAATAATGTTTTCAGCTAATTGTGGGGATCGCTTGATTCAGCTTTGCCCATAAATTCTGCCTGAAGTATCCCTGGAGCTCCTCGTGCCAGGATTCCCTGCCCCTAGAGCATCCCACAGGAGATAGCAGAGGGAAGGGGTTGGGTAAGAGCTGGCAAAGAGCAAACAGAAGGCAAAAGACAGCTCTGCAGGGAGGGGGCAGAAAGGGCAGAACACAGTGTTCAAGGAGGAGATGAGTAAGGCGGCTGGGGAGGGAGATGAATGGAAAAAGAAAGGTATTCCCACAGCCAAAGGAACAAGTGGGCACATGGAAAATTCACAAACTGCTACCACTGTCAGCTGAATCCCATTTGCACTGTCTCTTTCAGGCTGAACATCCTCAGAATACCATGTGTGTGGCAAGGACTTGATGTTTTCTTAGCGAATAAATATGAATCAGAAGATACACAACAGGCGATCGGAATAACACCAGACCCAAGGGACTGGCTGGCAAAACTAGCCTGCAGTCTTCCCACGGCTCCTGTCCTCAGGCAGGACGGTCAGAACCCTCATCCACAATGTGCAGAGAGCAGTCTTCATCACCACCAGTGGATCAGAGGCAAAGCAGCACCCCACTCTGCCCATATGCACCATAGCTGGATCCACATGACCACAGGAAGATGCTCCTATAGAATCACCAAGGTTGGAAAAGACCTCCAATTCCATTCTGGATGCTAAGCTGTTCCTTCAAAGCCGCTGCTAAAAGCGAATTGTAAAGCTTTTGAGGATACCAAGAAGCCTACACAGTTGCTGGAAATTGCATTCTAATGATGACCATCCCAGCTGGGAAGCTGTTTTGTTTTAATTCAGTCTTCTGAAGCATTCTCCTAGGCAGTAAAACCGCACTGTGTGAAGATGCTTAAGAATTTGCAGGCAAAATCACCGCCAGTTTGCTGGCCTCAGACCGACAGGCACTTCACCTGAAGTGCTCCCTCTGCCTCATCAAGCTCCCGACTTCCACCAAAAGGACGGAGATGCACAGTCCCATCCCATTGCCCTGCTATGGCACGCTGGAGGTCTGCTCTGAGCAACAAGAAGTGCTTTGGCAGAGCCCCACAGTGCTGTAGGAAGGGGATCTGCTTTAATCCCATCTGAGGAATACCTGAAAGTTGGAGGAACTGGCTTTAATACTGCCCGTCAGTGAAGAAATGCCGCGTGCTGTGTGTTAATGAGGAGCTGGATTTCGCCTCCAGCTGGATGACAGATGGGGGATCTGGGGAGATTCCCCCCGGAGTATCGAGGAGGCCTTGTTCCAAGGGAATTGTCATCATCCCCGGTCTTTATGCAGCTCAACACTGACCCTCGATATTCATTCAAGTCTTTAACTAGATATTTTATTTCATTGCCAATCCAGAGGTGATTATGCTGACCACGTGAGCTAGGTTCAGCCTGTAGCTCTGCCGTACAGAAATAGCAGTCTGGGGGCTTGGTGTCAATCTCTCGCCAATAAGGAGCTTGGCTGGCAGCCATGGATTGTGGGCTGAGTTCCCAGCTGGCATATAACTTGGAAGACAACCACGAGGTCTGGGTTCAATATCCAATTGCTAAGGAGTCTGGCTGACAGCCTCATTTTGTGGAATGAATCCCAAATTAATATAATGCTTTTGATACCAGACAAGGGGCATGGCCTGCTTCCAAATGCTGTAAGGGCTCAGATAAAAGCTGTAGGCATTGGGTTCAGCGTGTAAATGGTACCGAGGTCGGATAACAGTCAGGATTGGGATTAATCCTCAGATGGTGAGAAAAACGAGTGAACCCTGAGC